TCAGCCGCATCATTGGAACCACCTCGGCACAAAAGATGTTTCAGAAGATGTTTGTCAGTATGCTTCAGGATGGATCGTGTTTTAAAGCCCATAAGCCATTAAATGAATAAGCAGTACACAGGTACAAATAGAAATAGATACAACCTAAAGCATAAATAAACACTATTTCACTGACAAAAAAGGGAACACTAAAAAGATACACAATGAGCAGGGAGGTGCATTTTTTTGGTAATAGTGAGAGGGCTTTATAATATCAAAGCTATGCATATACTGCCTAAAAATGGGTTTTCCTAACTTTAACATGGAAGGAAAGATGGAAAAATAAATTTGTCTTTCCTTCTCTGATTTTTTTCTGACCTAAACGAGGCACTAATAACTTCATCCTCAGTCCACGGTAACCGTCCGCAAGGAAGAATCTGACAAAAAAAAGAGGTGTTCACACATCTGTGTACTGAATACGGATGTAAAATAAAAGGTTTTTGAAAAAAAAAAGATTTTTTAGAACTTCATGACTGGAGTCTGTGAAAAATTAAAAAAAAATGTTATTTAAGATGTAAATATTAATACTATTTTATAGAAAATGGTCCGGCAGATGTTGTTATTGTTGCTTTCTCGCTGTTTGAGAGGAAGGATTTGGTTTCATAATGAAATATTTTTTCTCATTTGTTGGTGTGTTTGTTCTGGACTGCTGACAAGCAAAGCTCATCGTTATTATTTTGTAGTTGTTACTTGTATGAATGTACAAAGGAGTGCAATTGTTTTCTATTTAAAAAAAAGTAATTTTTACTTTCTGAACATGTAAAGGCTTATGTTTATTACTTCTTAGAAATACTGGATTCCAAATGCTGCAAGTTAATGAAGTGATATTTGTTTTATATTTTTGTTGTATCGCGTTTTTACTAAAAGTGTATGATCTTTGTTGTATATGTGCCTGACTGGTCCTTTTTAAGCTTGTTTAAGTTGTGAACATTGATAACAAATGATCTGACTAAATTCAGTGTGTAAAGATGTATTGTTTCATTATAAATATGCAATGAACAGACAGACGATTTTAGTCTTGTGATTTCATAGCAGTGTTAAATTTTGGAGAAACCCCCCCCAAAAAACATTGTTTTCTGGTAAATCAACTATATTGTATGCTTTTAGTTTTAAAATCCTCCAAGGGTGCCTTCCCTGAGATGGAAGGGGACTGAATGGCTGACTGGATCAAACAATCTGTACTTCTGATCTCTTGACTGAGAAGAATTTGGTCTTCCCCAGCTTAGCGATCAAGGCGTACAGTGAGTTTCCTGACAGAGCCACTTTGATGTGAGTCACCTACATTAGATCAGCTTTTCCAAGATGTCAGTGTAGCTTCTATTTACACCAAAGTGCACATGAAGCCTGCCAGGATTAGAAACAGAGGCACTGCAGTTACATTTGGATATAGGCCTTGAAGATTTCTCTAAGTATGAAAGTGCAGCTGACGTTTCATGGTGGGTCAAATGTCTGAAGTTAAAGGATCACGGTGCATGTAATGTGTACTATAATCATAACTTGATGCTGATTTCATGTATATCTCACAGGCAGTATCATTTTTCTGTAGCGGTGTGGACTCAAGAACTCAGTGACTGAATGGCATAGAAGTGAAGAGTGCAAAAACCTTTTATGGCCAGGATACGTTCTGAATTACGCACAGAGGATGTGTCACATTTCAGATCATCTGGTTTTGAAACCATTTCACATAAGCAAGGGCCAGTTTTCAGCATGTGATTGGAAGGTTGACCTGATTTTGAGTCGACACACCTACGCAATCTTCTAAACCTCGTGTACCTCGTGTAAATTCCGCAAAGCCAGCACGATACATAACATCTTAAAAGGACTCACAATAAGTGCTACTCAACTAAAAGAAAAAGTCATATGGTCACATCGGAAGAGCTGAAAGAAAAAAGAAAATTAACACATTTAAATATGGCATCATTTGCATTTTTTTAGACAACACAGCATTTTTAAACTGTGGATTCTGGCATGTTTGCAATAATAATTTAAAGAACTAAATTAGGACCATGAATCGTGCAATACAAAGTCAGTTAGAACCTAAGAAATAAAGGACATTTGATAAATGTAGGTCGTACTTGTGGGCACAAAGCATTTCCTGCACCGACAAAGCAGTAAATGTGACATTTTATTGCAGGCTGTAAAGGTTTTCAGGGGTTTTATTGGTTTTTAGTGTTATTTTGTTATCGTTTTTATCGTTAACTCGGTTTTCCTGGGTCTTCTCACGTGTGTTATGAATAAATCTTATTTTTTTCTGTACCGGTACTAGCCTGTCCGTGAAAATATTGTCAGGCATAAACCGGGCCATGGCGCAAAAAAGGTTGGGGACCGCTGCTCTAAAGGATCATTTTGAACCCTTTTTCCTCAAACTCCTTATCAGCCCATCCCAAAATACACAGCGCACTTCAGGATTGAGTGAATTGTTTTACAGCATCACACGGGAGACAAGAAACACTGCATTAATGGATCCTTGGTCGTTAGGAGCTTAAGGGAGATGCTGTAAGTTAGTCACACCAAACCAGCTGGTTCCTAAACCGTCAGCACTTTAAATGTTGGAGATTCGGGAGGATCAAATAGGGAGGAGACACGTTGTCCTTCCTCCTGCTGCTGATTTTAATATCCTAGATCTTATTTCCAGTTATTCCCAGTGAAAATTCCTGCCCCTATTTAAAATTCAGAATTCAGGCCTTTCTGAGTCAGAGTGGATACAGACCTCAGCAGGATCGCCATCAATGCAAGACGATGATCATTATGAGACGAAGGAAAAAAACACCATCTACTGTATCGAGGTATTACTATTACAGAATCGTATAATTAGTTGCCTATAAGTATAGTTATACTAGATTACAACTGTAGTATGTGAGCTACACTTATCAGCAGGTACTGTTTGTCTCCACAGCTTTCTGTACTAGTGCCGTTCCTGCTCTCTGGTGAGATCTGCTGCATCAGGGTGGAGGACTCTGATCCCATCTATGAGCACCAAGACCCATTAACCACAGAAACACTCACAGGCTCCGCGTGTCCAATTACTGCATCATCACTGTGTACAGAGAGTGCGAGCCATGCAGAAGTGCCCAATACCTGTGGAACTACCTGCTCTGCGTGTGTGTCACCTGTGAGAGTCTAAAAGGTGTGTGTAGGTGTGTTTTTAGTTTGTGGATTCAAATTTATTTGGAACTTTCTCAGGTGAGACTTCCGTGACATTCCTCTCAGGATTCTTCAGCGTGCACAGGATGCCTGCTGGGAGGACTTTTATTGCCAGGTGAGCCTGCTCCTTACTTACTTACCCATTACTACGGAGCCCCGCAAGGGACATAGGAGAAAAAAAAAATGCGGGATCTCGCAAAAGTTGAATTCCAACAATGGCGGCAGCTACTTAGTTGTAATATTACTCTTTCTGGGTCACAAAATAAACTTTTAAGATATTTTGAGGCGTGAATGTAGCTGTGTAAACGTCAAATAGCTGCTCGGTTTACAAGACATCACATATTTGCAAAAGTGCTCCGACGTTTTCGGAGATGTCTGACACCCACCATTTCGAAGCTAACGGGAGGTCGAGACCTACTACAGCCAGGAGGAACACCACTCTCCCGGCACATCGTGCCTCGACCTCCCGGTCGGCTTCGAGCTGGCGGCCTCCGAAGAATGCGTCTAAAACTTTTGCGAGATCCCGAGTTTGTTTTGCGAGATCTCGCAAAAGTCCATCTTAATTTTTTTTCTCCCGTGTCCCTTGAGGGGCTCCGTACCTTACACTCCTTCACCTCTTAATTGATAAAAAAGGAATAATATTATGAAGGCTCCTGATGAGCTCATGACCATTATGGGGGGAAAAAATCCTTATTTTTTATATATAACTCAAATGCACAAATTGGTCAAATTAACCTATTAAATACAATGAACAAGTACAGTGAAACACATCCCACCACAGCTGAGTCATGCTCATATTCTGTGGAAACAGGAAGAGAACAGAGAAATGAAGATCCTGCTGTGACTCACTGACCAGTTCGTTTTGCTACGTCATCAGACTGTAAACCCCAATCAGGGTCTCACTGACATATTCTGCAAATTAAAAGAGGGACTCACAGTGACGTATGAGTTTGCCTGTTTCAAGAACCAGGCGGTAGAAAAAAAATATCAAAAATTTGTATTAACCCGCACATCATATGCAAATGACAGCACAGACACATTTCCCTGAAAGTTTAGAAGTTTTTCAAGTTGTGCAAAGGCAGATATTTCTCAAAAACCTGTGACTCATGTGTGATAAGATATATTACTGTAACATTGTAGACTTCTTTATTTCGCTATAAATTATATTCATCAAATTCCCACAAATGAAAGAAACAACTGAGCTTTTAAAATTGTGCAAGCTTTGAACTTTTGAATGCAATATTACACATTCCACTGTGTATTCAATGACATTACAAAGTAATCATGCATTTCACGTGGAATTCCAATAAAACTGATTGATGTTTGTGGCTGTAATGTGACAAAATGTGGAAAAGTTCAAGGGGGGTGAATACTTTTGCAAGACACTGTATATTTGACCCTACACTTTACAGAAGATTTAAGGTCTTTTAAGAGTAAACAGTAAACTATATGCTCTATTCATGTAATCTCATATCAGTGGCCTCCCAGCAACAAGTTGGTGAAATCTGAAAATGAGCTTAAATGTGAATTATTTCTATCAGACAAGGAGGAACCAAAAAACTCTGTCACAACACTTGATTAAGATGACGCATAAAAAATTAGCAACAGGCAGCGAGTGAAACTAAATCACACATTACTCCAAATACTTCCTTCGATTTTCTGACAGTTTCTTTTTTCAATAACATTGCTTTACTACACAGAAGTAGTTTGACCTTTAAGATGAAGTTTATAACTGATTAGACAAACCACATCACCCACGCAGGAATGGTTCCTATAAAGCCGAGTGCTGTCAAATCCTCTTTGACAGACATCCCATCATGAACATGGTGAGTATTTGACACAACTATAGAGCTTAAAATGGGAATACGTGATAGGTTCAAATTTCAAAAATTTTAAAACTCATTTATGTTTATTTTACACAGTATGCAAATTCTAGAAATGGGAAAATGTTTTGCAATAGAAAAAGAAAAAAAAATAAACAGAGATATACATTTATGTTTAATTACATTTGATTATGTAACGCGAAATAGTTAAATACTTAAATCACTTTTATCAATGATTTGTAGAGGACGTTTGCCACAGTGGACTCTTTTGTGCTTACAGTGTACAGATGGTTTATCCATTAGATGCTGCATTGAGGTTAAAGAGGTTTCCTCTTGTTAGTTTCATTCTGGCCCCTGAAAAGTCAGTGTAGAAGCTAAATACCAGGTCAGATCAGACAAGAGGCAACTTAAAAACAAAACACAGCTAATGTGAGAGGATTAAAAACAAACAAATGCTTCCATATTTTTGATGCATGTTCCTGTGTTACTGTTTTTGACTTGCGGTTTCGAGATGTGCAATTTAAGCTAGTAAATATTTCCACTACTTTAGGTGAAATTTTAGAGCTACAGGATGAGGGAGCTATAACTCACAGGCATAGCAAATCACATGTTCTGAGGTATTTTCAGCACTTATAATCAGGTGTCGTCTCTCTCTACAGCTTATCGTGCCAGCGCTGTTCCTGCTCTCTGGTTCACTCTGTGGTGCCTCAGTGGTGGATCCTGTTCTCACCTTTGACCACCGAGACCCGGTAACCGGAGAAATCCTCAAATGTCCCAAGTGTCCACCGGGCACGTTCATGTCTGCTCATTGCACTGCCACCACACCCACACAGTGTCAGCCGTGCAAAAATGGCCACTTCACCGATCTGTGGAACTACCTGCCCAGGTGTCTGTACTGCAGCAACCTTTGCACAGGTAACCTGGAGGTGGAAACAGAGTGCTCCCCGACAACCAACAGGATCTGTCGGTGCAAAGAAGGTTTTTACTCGGCTGATGACTTCTGTATCAGGCACACAGAGTGTGGCCCCGGATACGGGGTTCAAACTAAAGGTACAGTATTCATTTATTAAATATGAACTACTAAACCATCCCTCTGTTTTCTTCTGTTTATCCAAAACATCAGTATGTCTAACTCACTTTACACTTCCAATGAATGTAGTGACCTGAAGTCCTCTGTTGTCCTCTCTTAGGTACACAGCAGACAAACACCGTTTGTGAAAAGTGTCCAGAGGGATATTTTTCCAGCTCATCTTCTGCAGTGGATTTGTGTGTAAAACATCAGGAGTGCTCCAGCGGGCAGAGCGTACTCCTCACTGGCTCAGCCTATTCTGACACCGTGTGTGGCACCTGTGAGAGTCTTGCAAACGGAGGTATGTTATTAATGTTATCTACCAAAAACAAAATATTTTTTAATGCAACCAAATTTACAAAGTTATTTCAAACTTTCTCAGGTGAGACTCTCAGGACATTCCTCTCAGGATTCTTCCATGCACACAGGATGCGTGTAGGAAAAATCAAGAAGTTTGTTTCCAAGTGAGCACACTCTTTGTCTGTTTGATTATTCTCCAGCACTCCTTCACCTCTAAATTCAAAAAAGATGCCAATTAAACCATTGTCTCCTTGCAACAGATACATCCTTACCTCGTCGAAAGAGAGGTGCAGTCTCCCCAAACAGAGAGAGCCTCTCATGGATCACATCATAGACTGGCTGGCAAAGGCTCCGGAGGAAAAGCTGAGGAAGATTCCCGACATGCTAACAGCTTCAGATCTTAACTCCATGGCAGAAAAACTAAAGAAGAGACTCCATGAGATTAAGCAGCAGAACCCAAACTGCAGCTTAACAATAGATGAAGTAAACAATGCTCTCTAGTCTGCAGTCCGTTACACATTGAAAATTTTTTTATAAGTGTTATAAGAGGATATTTTTACACCATTCTCCATTTTATTGGCGTACACGCATTGTAATAAAGGTAGACAAATGTTAAAACAAATAATATTATTTTTATACATTGAGGCTTCTGATTAGAAGACACATGACTCCATTACAGAAGAGTTGTGAATTATTCCTATGAAATAAGGGCCACAATGAACAAGCTATTAAATACATATATTCACATTGCTACAGCTGTTTTTGTAAACATTGTTAAGAGCTTAAGGGTGGAAAATAAAACAACAACAACAACTAGGAATTCCACACAAAAAAAACTGAAATATGAAAATATTTTAAACATGACATTGTGATGTTATTTAAAGTTTTAAATAAAAGGATTTTTATAAGATTGTGTGAATGTCATTCAAACTGAAATATTTTACCTGCCAAGTGTAAAAACCAAACAAAGTATCGCGCACATTGTAACCTAAAGTCACAACCTCCTGTATCGCCTCCTCCCTTATGACCTTCCTATGAATGAACTATTTCAAACAAGTGAAAATGTAGCTCGTCTTTCTTGTTATCATGATTCTGGAGTAAAACACATACTTTGTAATTGTATTACAAAGTACTACAGTTAGAGTGAGGAACTGTTAGAGATCCAACACGTTCTCACTCCCAAAGTGTAACAGTCGTGGATATAACAATAGGACAATTTCATGAATTAATCATTGCATAAGCACATTATTAAACTCATTGTAATTATAACTGCATTAATTATTTGATCATTTACTTGACAATAAAATGAAGAATTGGCAGCGATTTCAGCCTAATGTCAAGAGAACTTAGAATGCATTGCTCATCAAAGTTTTGTTAAAGTATAATAATGTACTGTTTTTAAGGATCCTTTTAAACTCACAAAAATACAGTATTGTTTGAGTATTTGCCCCCTTCCTGATTTCTGATGTTTTGCATTTTTGTCACAGTAATATTAGACCAAGATAACCTGAATAAATTCAAAATGAAGTATTCCAATGATCATTTCATTCATTAAGGGAGAAAAGCTATCCACTACGGAAGCGTGATATACATAATTATCACGTTCGTACAATATAATAATACAATATAATATTTATATTGTACGAACGTGATAATTATGTATATTGTAATAACGTGATATTATGTTGTTCAAACGTGAAAAGTATATTGTACAAACAGGAAAAGTATCTTGTTAGAACAATAAACTTTTCACGTTATAACGTGATACACTTGTATTTTTCTTTTGCCTGGGTGGCAGCTCTACGCTTCCGTAATCCACACCTGCCCCTCTGTGAAAAAGTATTTCCCTCTAAAACTGCTTGTGCCACCCTTTGCAGCAAGTAGTGCAATCGAGCGTTTGTGATAATTGGCAGATGTGGGAGGCAGTGTTGGTCAAGTTACTTGAAAAAGGTAATCAGTAACTAATTACTAATTACTTCCCCCAAAAAGTAATCCCGTTACTTTACTGATTACTTATTTTCAAAAGTAATTAATTACTTAGCTACTTAGTTACTTTTTAAAAACACGATTTACAACCTGAATAGGTGATAAAGTGATAGATCTTTCAGCCCAATTCTACTTTTTCTACACAATCCATCATACAAAATGTAATCAAATGAAAAAGTCCCTTTTTAAAACTTGTTTTATTAGTTTTAATCTTTAAACTTTATGCATCAAGCAAAAATTTAATTATATGCAACATTCTCTGACTGGAAGAAATTTGTTTAATATCTAAACTTATTTTCTGCACATTCCAGCACATAAAATATATATTTTTTGTGTTTACACTCAGTCTTTCAAATAGATGCAAGTAAAACACAGCAGAAAATAAATAAAGTCAAAGACTAGCGGTCCTTTTGCTCTATTTTCACCTGTAAGGCGGGAGTAAGGTAGGCGGAGGTTTACCCTGGTGCAGGTGTGCCGCAGCAGTCAGTGGAAGAATCCGCGAGTTTCTCTGTGAATTTCCCATTACGTCGTAGCTACTCGGTGCTTGCTTGGAAGTTTAGGGGTTTTTTTTCGCTGTAAAAAGAAGTTTTCTTCCCACGCACAACGGACGCTAATGTTTTTGTCACTTTTTATGCAATCAAACTCAAAGTAAGGTCAGTACTTCCACGCTTTAAACACTGCACGCTCATACTCTCTCCCACAATCGATATGTGATCCATTGTTGAACTGCACACAGCTGTTGTCACCAACGTCGCACTTGCTTACGTAACTGTCGTGAGACATTCTCGCAAAAAAATCAGTAACGCAGTAATGCAGCGTTCCTACGGGAAAGTAACGGTAATCTAATTACCGTTTTTGCAATAGTAATCCCTTACTTTACTCGTTACTTGAAAAAAGTAATCGGATTACACGTTACTGCCCATCTCTGGTGGGAGGTGTGTAGTCATAAACCCTGCAACTGTCCATCAACACAAAGAGACAGAAAACAAAAGTTCGTTCAGTGCTTGTGTAACAGGGTCATAAATCACATTGTTATAATTACCCAAAATGTGTTCTAAACCCCCAAACCGTTCCTTTTATACCTGACTTTCAGGACCTCCAAGCCTGTAGTTATGTTCATTATCAGTTAGAGCCCCTCCTCATTCTTTTCTTCTTCTTCTTTGGTGCAATCCTATAAATACAGTGTACCCCTTTTGCCTCTCCCCTTTTCTACAATTCCCCTGTGGGAGAGGAGCTGGAGTGGGCAAATTATTTACTTGGAGGTCTTTCTTTCTTTTACCTTTTTTATCAGACACAACACAGAATCACACCGATTACACTTGACTGCAGGATTTGTGCTGCAGCCCTGACCTGTAAGAGGGTTTACGTTCCTCCTTAGCGTTATGCGCCATCTAGTGGCAACTTTAAGTAAACACCTGATATAGTAACAAGTGGAGGTGGCAAAAGTACAGACATTGTGTCCTTATGAATCAGAATCAGAATACTTTATTAGTCCCTAAGGAAATGATGCTGTAAGTAGGTAGGTGTGCCGATACCCTGTTTGTATTTCTGCCATCCAAAACTTATTTCTTTATCAAGAGAATAGAATAATCCTTTAATTGTCCCACAAGGGGAAATTTGGTTGTAACAGCAGCCAGAAAGACACATATACAAACAAACAGTACACAGGACACAGATCAGAAACATACACAATTTTTCTTACATATTTACATTAAGGACAATGGTTACTATAAACAGAGTGCTGTACGGTTATTAAATTAAATAAAAATAACTACAGATAAGAGGCAAACCAGGTTGTAGTACGAATCGTTTGATTAAATTATTGCAGTTACAGCGCAGATGCAAACATCTATGTTTGTTGGGAGCAGTTCTGATTGTACAGTCTGACAGCTGCAGGGAGGAAGGACCTGTGGAAACGCTCCTTCATGCATCGAGGATGCAGCAGTCTCTCACTGAAGGAGCTCTGCAGTTCAGCAACATTTACATGCATGGAGTGGGAGACTCTCCATCAGAGATGTTATTTTGGCCAGAGTCCTTCTGTCTCCCACCACCTGCACTGGGTCCAGGGTGCATCCCAGAACAGAGCTGGCCTTCCTGATGAGTTTATCCAACCTCTTCCTCTCAGCTGCCGATAAACTGCTGCTCCAACATACAACACTGTAAAAAATGACAGATGCCACCACAGAGTCATAGAAGGTCTTTAAAAGCGCTCCCTGGACTCCAAATGACCTCAGCCGCCTCAGCAGGTAGAGTCTGCTCTGGCCCTTCCTGTAAAGAGCATCAGTGTTGTGGCTCCAGTCCAGTTTATTATTCAGGTGAACACCCAGGTACCTATAAGAGTCCACTATCTCAATGTCCACTCCCTGGATGTTCACCGGTGTCAGTATGGTGGGTCTGCGTCTCCGGAAGTCCACCACCAACTCCTTGGTTTTCCCCCGGAGTTGATCAGCAGGTGGTTCTGCTGACACCAGTCCACAAAGTCCAGAGTCCACTGTCTGTACTCTGAGTCGTCCTCACCTGTGATGAGGCCGACTATGGCAGAGTCGTCAGAGAACTTCTGTAGGTGGCAGCGTGGGGAGTTGATGGAGAAGTCTGCAGTGTAGAGGGTGAAGAGGAACGGTGCCAGCATAGTTCCCTGTGGGGCCCCCGTACTGCAGACCAGCATATCAGAGACACAGCCCTGTGTCCTCACATAATGTGGACGTTCTGTGAGGTAGTCCAGTATCCACTGGGACATGTGGTGGTCCACTCCCGATAGCTCCAGCTTGTCTCTCAGAAGTCGTGGCTGGATGGTGTTAAAAGCACTGGAGAAATCAAAAAACATGATCCTCACAGTGCTTCCAGGCTTCTCCAGGTGAGTCAGAGCTCGGTGCAGGAGGAAACAATAGCCACTTTGGACAAAATAACTCATCTCAGCTTAGGGGCATCTGGTGTGTCAAATGTTCATTAGAAATTCATACAAGCCTTTCTTTAAAGGTATCTATTTATTAGGGGTGCAACGATACACAAAATTCACGGTTTGGTTCGGTTCGATACTTTGGTGTCACGGTTCGATATTTTTTCCATACAAAAAGATTTTTCATGCCTTTTTAATTTGTCATTTATTAAAATTATAAATATATATTTTAACTCAAAAGTACAGTTTTTAAATTTAACCCTAACCCTTGTGCGTGTTTTTTATTTTGACAGCGAATGCGCACCTGCGGACCACTTATGTGCAGCCCTGGTTATTTAGCTCATCATATGGCAGCCACAGAAATTATTTTGTCCATGAAACCATAAAGCTGCACTTTCTTTTTGCCTTATAGTCTGATTTGTCATAACTTCTCCGTTTTATGGTAAGCTTTTCTTTGGCTGTCACTTCTTCACCCTGACCTGTCTTATTTGGCTCAGCAGAACTAAAATATATATCTGTCTGTGAAGGTTCTCAGTCATCCAGGTCATCGTAGTCAAATATAATGTCAAGGTCTGCGGAGGCAGACCGTGCGGAAAGGTGTGTGGTGGACCCAGGTGCGAACACAAACGAGGATGC